TATACAGGGTGTCTCATAATTAGCTGCCAACCCTGAACAGGCCGATTCTATGATCAAAACTAAGTAAAAAAGTTCATATGAACATGGGTCCGGAAATGCTTCCTAAGGGCACAGGGACCCATTGAAGAGGGAGGAATGGAAATCATTTTTTTGCAATATCTCTCAATCGCGTTGTGATAAATGAATAAAATTTAGCTGTGTATACCAAATTTCATTCATTTATCACAACGCGATTGAGAGATATTGCAAAAAAATGATTTCCATTCCTCCCTCTTCAATGGGTCCCTGTGCCCTTAGGAAGCATTTCCTGACCCATGTTCATATGAACTTTTTTACTTAGTTTTGATCATAGAATCGGCCTGTTCAGGGTTGGCAGCTAATTATGAGACACCCTGTATATTTGTCAATTACTCGAAATGTTGGTAGATATTTACTGTGTAATTTTCTTTCTTCGTGTTATTGTTAGGTACTTCTTGTTGTCTTACTATTTTTTGGTCTTCATATAACTTATAATAATGATAATAATAAAGCAATTAATATAAGGTTTATTTAAACATTTCTCAATAACTATTTACAAACGTTTGTAAAAGTATTATTTATATACATACAAGATACAATCCTAAATGTGATTTTTATTGTAGCTTCAATTTTTTTATTAATACAAATCTTGTTATTAATATTTCTTATGGTGGGATTACTAGAGAACCACGCTAACTCCTGGCAAACCTTTGGTGTTGACACCTGTAACTCTATACGTGCCACCATGGTTGGGGGGTGCGAGAATATTTCCATCGATTGTAAATTTCGCGGTGGTTACATAAATTTCGTCCAGATTTGGACCACCAAATGCAACTGAGGTGACCTAAAAGTAAATATAAATATATTTCAAAACGAAATGTATTTCAATCACTACTGTGGTGTTATTTTATTTCATTTGTTAACATTTTTTAATCTTGAAATGATAGAACTGTTAAAAAATTATTTATTTAGTTATGAACAAAAAGATATAACAGGGTTTTCATATATGTTTTGACACCTAGGTAAATAATAATGTATTGTAAGAATTACAAAAAGTATTTGTATACAAATTCTTGAGCTGTTTTCATTTAACATTTAATATTTAATATAAACAAATGAATCATCAAGTATGTTAAGAATTCTTAAGCCAAAGTGTTGGTTTAAATATGTTGGCGATATGTTTATCATCCGGTCTCATTGAAAAAAAATAACATAGAAGAAATTTTAGTCCCCCCACTCCACTACTTTGCCATTGCACATCCTAATTTCAAGCCTAAATAATTTTTAACCACCATTTTTGTTATGACAGCAGCGTAATCTTTCTCGGCTTATTCAATGCAGAAATTTTGTTAATATTGATAAATTTCTATTTATACCTAAAAGATATTTGAATCAGTGGATAAATACTGGCCAGAGGACTTAATGTCCAATTTCTAAAGAAGAGAGAGCAATAGGTCAAGAAGTCTAAACGGATGACGTGGCAACCGGCCCGAAAATTGTTCAAACAAAAACATATGAATGTCACATAGGGTGCAAATAAAGTCAGCTTTTTCATATTTGGATAGAGTATATTCTTAAGATTTGATCACCTTTATTGCTAGAAATAGACTAGTATTTGTCACTGTAGTCTTAAGAAAGCGCTCTATTCAAATATCTAGAAATATACAGAGCGCTTCATTTAAAAAGGTTGAAGTAGGTTTTTTTAATTTTTTTACATTCAATTCTTTATTGTAGTAGTTTCAACATATTTGATGAGAAACTGGCCCAAAAGACAGTGAGAGGAAGAGCACAAACAATTTCAGATAATGTTTTTCTAGATTTTTAAATAAACCCACTATAAATAGGTGCCTAAATATAAACGGAAACCCTGTATAAAAAAATGGTACTACCTGTTGGGCAGGTATTGGAATGCTTTCTAATAAAGTTTCTGGTATCCTCGGATCAATCTTTATTATACGATTTCCGTTAAACACAGCAACCCATAAATTACCATCGGTATCAATGGCCATACCATCCGGAATACCTGGTACATTATTCTTTTCTAGGGAAAATATAGGTTTGCCCTTTGCTAGAACAAGAAATGATAGTATTAGTATTTATTTAGAGCTGGAGACTATTAATAATTCGTACCAGTTGTACGAATTTTGTTAAAATGACTTTAGGAACGCGTTTTACTTACATATTGTTCCATTTTTGATGTCAAATTCATACTCATCAACAGTCCCTCTGTGGGAATCAATGTAATAAAACTTGTTCAGTTCCGTACTCCAGGCCAAACCATTTGATATTCCAACTTTGTTTATGTTGCTGGTCACTTTATTATTCTGGAAAGAAAATAGAGAACCTTTTTCCCTTTTTACTTGTCCGTTAACTGGTTCTCCGCCCATGGTACCTTAAATAAAAAGTGATATCTCATCAGTGGTGGACATCAGTGGCATAACTATACCATCTGGGGCCCGTGGCAAATTCTTTTGATGGGGGCCCTATCAGTAAAAATCGTCACGTTGTACTAAGTTTAATTTTAATAAACCACTTAAGTAGTTATCCAACACTAATAACAATTTTATTTTCAAGAGCATGGGTTTATACATTTACAATGAAATAACAATTTAATTTCAATAAGATATTTATTAAGAAAAATCTTTTCTTCGAGCTTTCTGTTCCGCAAAAGTGTCTGTAACATCATTAACAAGTTTAAAGATCGGGCCATAGAATTTTCAATAGACAGAATAGCCAAGTTACTTAACCTGTCTTGTCCCATAGAGTTTCTTAAATAGGTTTTTATTAATTTTAGTTTTGAAAATGATGGTTCAGCACTAGCTGTAGTCATAGGAATTGTAACAAATAACATTAATGCAGTGCATACTTCAGGAAAGCTGCAGGACATAAAATGATTCTTTATTATTAATAAATCAGCAAGGTCTCTAATACACGAAGACTTTTCTATTTCGTCTCTGAAAGTGGACCGAAAACTGAGAATTTCCCTGGCAAATGATTCAGATATGTCTTTTTTATATATATCAACAAATTCTAGAGCTTTTTTTAATAGATCAGTGTCATTTAAAACTTGTAAAATACAAATGACCAATTCAATCACACAAAGAATGCGCAGTCAGTCAGCGTTTCCAGATTTTTTTTAACCTAGTAGCCAAACCAGAATTGAAAGTAGCCCAAAATAGCCTGACATCTAGTAACGAAAACCGTTATTTATATTTTTTATACATTTGAAGTTTAAAACCATTCGGATTTGAGTTTGTTCTGTGAGTCTGGGGACAATCCTTTTCTAGTGGTATGTGGACAACCCTGAGAACATGGAGACTACACTATCTAGTCTCCCTGCCTGAGAAATAGAGTAGCTGCTTGTTGTTCTCAGGTAAGGGTAAGAATACAACCACAGAATATACAATATATACAAGTACAACTATGGTCGTAACAATCTAGTAGCTGCAACATGAGAAAAATTTGAGCTCACTTTGATCTTGACACATGTAATTTAGCTACTACTCAACAGATGGCAGCAATAAGTGCTAAAGGCTAAAGTCCCTAGAATCTAGACATTTTACTTATAAAGGCTTCAAAATCCAAACAGTTTACAGAATTCACAGCTTAAATATACGATTCACAGTTCGCAGTAAAATCTAGAAACTCGGTCGAACTAGATTTAAATTCAAAAATAATTCTCTGACAATAAATAAATACTTAATCTCTGGAATAATTAGTTAACTTAAGGCAAATATATATGATTATAAAACTAGATTATTTTGCCTATGATACAACTGACAACAAACAACAACTTTACTATTAGCACGGATTACTCTTCTACTATCTACACTTATAAAATAACCAATTATTCTAAGATTCTACAATACAGAAATGGGTATATAAAATATAAATAAATATAAGTCGAATAAAATTTTTTTTATTCCTTGTACAAAAGAAAAAAAAAATAAACTTAACAGTCTTGAGTAAAAATAGAATTTATATAAATATACTATTCTAACATTCGATTTGTACAGATTGCTGACACTGGTTCAAGTAGCCGAAAGTCATCTGAGATAGCCCAGTTGGCGATAAGTAGCCCAATCTGGCAACCCTGCAGTCAGTAAAGCCCTCCGTAAATAAAAAAATAGCAAATCCAGGATTCCCCTAATATAGTCTGCTAGCTCGACCCAGCGGCAGCGTCACGAAAAATGTAGGTACTTTCTTGGTTAACAAAATGAGGGAATTCTCCGACAGTCATTGCTCACCCGCGCTACCAACGTACGGCGACAAAAAATGTAGAAACCAATGGATGCGTTCCAAAATTGATCAACATCTTTTTGTTTAGGATGTGTTGAAATGCTTAACGATTAACTTGAAATTGTATTATGGTCTTTAGTTGTCTCACTTTAATGGATTTTAAGCAGATACTTAAAAAAATTAAAAAATATACTTTTCAAGTAAAATAAAATACTCAGGTACAATGTTAAAAAATTATTTCTGAGCTCGTGGCCTCTTTTGCCGGGGCCCTCTTGGGTCGGGGGCCCGTGGCATTTTGCCAGCCTTGCCACCCTATAGTTTCGCCACTGGTGGACATCTTCAATTTTAATATTTTATTTCTTTTTGATATCGTTGAAATAGTTACTGATTTTAGAAAAGTGCACTTAAGCTATTTTGAGTTAATATGTAGGTAGTCATTGCAAAATAACAGTTTTTCAGTTAAATGAAATTTGTCCCCAACTAAATCCCATCGAATTTATTCCATGCAAAGCGAACTAATTTTTTTGGTAGGTTTCTCGTATGTCCCGAAGAGATATACAAAAAGTAGTTCATTGTGAGAATAAAAATGCTTCTCGATATCTTAATTCGTTTTTGATGTACATAACATTACAAAGTTTATGATTTCTATAAGATGTTATTTGGCCAGATTTTATTGCGTGAAATCCAATAATGCAATATTTCTATACATATTTTATCCGGTTTTTATCAGTCAGATAAAAAGCACATAAATAACTAACTAAATAAATAACTAAACAATTGCAACTTTTCCATTTCCAGCATGTACAGTCGACGCAAGATAAAGGTTTCCAACCTAAAAGGCATACTACTTTTAAAGGGGCGAGCCGGTGGACTATTAATAGGAATTTTGGGCGGCATCAATAATTAGGGGCGTGTCATTTTTTTTGTGTAGGCACGTGTGTAATGACACAACAAAAAATTGCAGGCCTTTAGTATATGCATTATAAAAAGAGAAGAGTATACAGGTTTTGAAATTATTTTGTCTTGCCACATTATTTTTCTTGTCCCTGTTAATATTTTGAAATAAGAATTTGTCATATTCTGCAGAAAGTAGGTAGGTAGGTCATGAAGGCAACAAAATAAAAAAATATTGTAAACTACAGTTTTATTATAACTTATACAGTTTCGGGAGGAAAGGGAAATATTTTAAGGACGTGTTCTGGAAGTGAAAAGAAGTAAATAAGTTCATGACATTATGGGTCCGGAAATGTTTCCTTTCTGAGATAGATGTCGAAGGAAATTTAAAATCCGTTTTTTTTTAAATATCTCGAAAACGATTTAAGATATTACACTGCCACTGTACTATACACCAAAGCTCAGTGTAATATCTTTAAATCGTTTTAGAAATATTTAGAAAAACAGGATTTTTTTAAATTTTACATCTATCAGAATGGAAGCCGGGCCCATAATATTATGAACTTATTACTTACTTATTTACTTATTTTGACATCATTTTATAAACAATGAAAAAACAAAACAGTCTAATATTTTGTCCAACCACCATCCGAATCAATACCGGCTTGTAATCTGTTTGGCATAGATGTAACAAGAACAAGGCGTCGTATATAATTCACGTCTATACCGTTCCAAATATTTTGTATACGTTCCCAGAGCGTATCTCTATTTGGTGGAATATCGTCATACTGTTCATTCAACTGACGCATTACAGAAGCCCATAAATTTTCATTCGGGTTCAAATCGGGACTTTTAGCTGGCCAAGGAAGAACGTTTATATTATTTTGTTCCATAAATGCCCTAACTACAGCTGATGTATGCACTGGTGAATTATCGTGCTGAAAAATGAATTCCCTGTGGAATACTGAAACTGAGGGTACCATGATATCGGATAATATAGTGCGGTACTGAAGGCCTGTTAAATTTCCCTCAATCCTCCAAATTACTCCGGGTCCGGCATCTGATATCCATGCCCAAGTAGGCACAGAAAAGCGACCACTACGAGCTCTTTCGCAGACATATCTGGGATGAAATCGCTGATTTTTTGGGCGATAGACTTTAACTTCTCCAGAATTGGTGGATTGAAATATTTTTTCGTCGGAAAATATGACGTTATTCCAAAACTGTTGCCCCTGTTGAATGTAATTTCTGGCAAATTGAAGTCTTCTTTCACGATGCTGGACTGTTAGAAGTTCTTTACTAGGAGCCGTATAATTAAAAAGTCCTTGTTCTTTTAATCTTGCTGTAGCTGTATTTTTACAACCGGGGAAGCCCGTTGCCTCTATTGCGTGGCGCATATCTGTAAATTGATTTTCTCGCACGTATGCTACCAATGCTCTGTCTTGATCTTCGGTAGTTTTTCTGTTGATTCCTGTTCCTGATCGACGATCAACTGACAGCTCAATTTCCCATTTACGATGGAGTTTATTTATACATGTGTGACTCACATGAAGTTCTCTGGCAACACCTCTTGCTGACCAACCATTTTCCAGCATTGCAATCGCCCGACTTCTGCGACGAGGGGAGAGTTGAGCCATTTTTTTAAACTGTTTACACTTGTACTCTGTACACTACAGAATCACTAAATACAACTCAACTAATCGCTATTTAATTAATCACTATCCGAATTACTAATAAATCACTCTGAAATCCCTAACTAAATCACGGTTTTCTGCCTACAATATTGACACCTGTCACTTTAAAATTTAAATAAAATATTACCGCGAGTCTAATGGGAACGCCACATATAGACAAGCGGTTAAGCCGTCATATTTCAAACAAAATACGATTCAGATTGGAAACCTTTATCTTGCGTCGACTGTACTTTGTACTGAATTTTTAGGAAAATTATTTGACTTGATAATAATACTTTAAATAAATATACTTATTCCAATAATTTCCAGACGTCTAACTTTCCTAATAGATTTATTGATTTTAATCAGATGATACATTACCTGCCCACAATCGTCCTGAGGGATCGCATTTTCCATCATTAAATCTATTGTCTATGGTGTTTGGATCGTTGTCCACTTCAAATAATTTACGCACATTTGAAACTTTCTCGCTCTCCCCATCCCAAGTCACAATTGCCAATTCTCTTCCAATACTGATGAGGAATTTATCTTTCTCTCCTCGAACAGGGATGATAAGAGACACATGATTGGTTCCTCATCAAACAAAAACATTTATTCGTTTTTAATTAAAATATAATTCCTACAGGTTTCGCAAAAAAAAGTTTATAGGAACAAATAAGTAAAAATATAAAATGTACCAAAAAACATCTATTGACATTTTGTTCCATACACCATTGACGTAAGAGGAATATCAACATTTTTGACAATATCCATAGAATCTTTGAATTACTAATTTGGAAAACTAATAAGATAGAAAACTGAGTTAATGTCAATTCCCAGAAATAAACAAAGGAGTAAAATCGATTGTGAGAATTTAGAAACAATGCTAAAAATATTTTATACAGGTTTAATATTATTATTTTGGTTAATATATTCAGTTGGTAGATATAATTATATAGTTTGCTAAACAACAATTTCTTACCGATAACCGCCTTTGTGTGTTTTTTTGTTGCTGGTACATATTTGTGTATAGACTTTCCAAAAATATCTACAAAATAAAGACTCTGGGTCTCTGCATCCCAGTGTGGCCCTTCTCCTAGTTCAACCGTTTCAATTTCAGTAATTCTTTCAACCTTAGGTGCCATACCGCTTCTTACTGAAATTTGGTCAAACATGAAATTGTTGTTTACTTTATTTTAGAGATATTAAAGCTAATTCAAAATGTTTTTGTAAAAACAACGTTCTTTAATACCAAAAATCTGGGTGCCTATGTAAAAGATATCTAACCTCATATGGTAGACAAGATTCTTAACTAGAAATATTGTTGAAAACAACTACTCTATGAACTCTATGCCCTAACTAACATTTGAAGTATTATAGCAATATGTATATAAGAATAAGGCTAAAAGAGATTAGATAGAAAATAAAATTTTAACCACTTTTTATTAGTTTAAATTTTAACAAAATATTCTTTTTTGTGAAAGGTGTCATACATGGCCTTTTTTAATAGACCTTTTTAGTAGTGACGACAAACACCAAATAATAGTCAACCCCATAGTACACATTGTCATGAAGAATTTGTCAGTATTTTCACTAGATCGATTTTCGACCTTATGTACTTTGGACACAAGTGCCAAAAAAATGTCTTCTTTGTCATGATCTTATATTGCAATATTCTGGCAATATTGGAAACATTTAAGTTAAGTTTCAAACCCTAAGTGACAAATTAAAGGAATTTTAGAATTTATATATTTAAATTTATAGAACAATATTTACTTTTATAGTAGGTAATTAATAGGTACATTAAAATTATATCACTGTTACTGAGCATTTTAAAGATAATTTTATGTAAGCGAAGTAGCCTCAACAGGATATCATTCAAGAAAAGTTCGGTTATGGTTAAGAGTACGTCTATAATAAACCACTGGAAGAAAAAAAAACACTCGATAAATACACTGATACAGCACACTACCAAGAAAAACAATAAAAATGCCAAGATTAAACGAAACGAGAAAATACGCTAATGATGACAGCGATGACATATCTACAAGATCTCACCTGCGTTATAAGGCTATTTTTTTTATTTTATTCAAATTTAGGAATATTCTTTTAGATCGTTTTTTGTAAGTTTTAAGCACATTAGTGTATCTATTTTACAAAACACGTGTTGGTTGTTCTTAAATACTTCTAAATCCTTTTAAAAATAAATTAATTTGAAGTTGTCAATCAGATTCGGTCTGTACAAGTTGTTATTTAATTTATTTAATCTCTATGACAATTTGTTGCGGGTTGCCTAAATATATGACGTCACACTAAAAGAGTCTATTGCAACCAGTGCCGGTTATTGACTTACCAGGGAGGACGCAAAATTTAGTTGTTGAAAAAAAAAAAAAATAAATATAAGTGGGTGGTTTTATTTTAAGTACTATTGAAATTTAGGGAAAATGTACTCAACATTATTGTTTATAGTCAAAGTCCATTCTTCTGCTTTTGTCCGAAATAAACTTTTCAATTACTTTTTCATTAAAGTTTGGTATTACTCGCACCATTGATTTTTCATAGATAGCTTGTAGCAGTGCCATAATCAATTTAAACGTGTACAATTTAAAAAAACGCACGAAATCAATATGAAAGTAATAAAATTTTACAACACACATGAACAAATTACGTTCATTAAGAAAAAAAAGCAATGAATAAATATTATTTGGTGGCGGTCGAACTAAACGGAACCCAAACGGCATAGTAAATATGCGCTGCTGCCATTCCATCTATCACTGCTACGCGACTGTAACCATAACCACCGCTGTGCTATAAACACTTTACAGATGTAGATGCTAGCTACGAGAAGCCCACGTATTCAGAGTTTTGCAAACGTGTTTTACAAGTTGAATTAAGCTGACTGCACAGATTTAACATTTTCTTTTTAATGTAATTAAACTAAATTTTAAATTAAATTTTTTTGCGGTGCCCCAGAGACCCTCCCCCCCACCGCACCGGTAGCCTATGATTGCAACTATTTTGTCATTCTCAATCCATCTTATAGCATCCAGAAATGAACAGATAAGTACATATTTTGGGGAAAAAAGTGAAAATATAATTAATGTTGTTATCCTTATTAGTAATAAAGATTAAATAGTCGTTAAATACGTGTTTATAACTGTCCACGTCACATGCGAAAAGTAAAATAATTTGTGTTGTATTAAATATGACAAACGGATCAAGAGGATTAAAATGAATACGACTTTTTGATCTGAGCATTAAATCCGATATTGTAATACGCAAGTCCGGCTTAATTGTGTTTTAGAACCTTGGCTTAGAACCGTACGAATATTACCATCCTTAAGTTTATACTATAAATAATTGTTCTATAAGCAAAAACTATTAAATATATTTAACTTTTACCAATAATATAAAGTTAGGTATATCTGTAAGTATGGTGTTTTAAATTTTAATTACACAGCGATTTGGCTTACCTTCCTCCTGGTTATTTTACCTTCTCTCTTCCACAAGTTATGCCGAACTGTTTAATGTTTATGTTACATAAAGTGTTAATAAACACATTTGCTTGCGGATAATGCGCGCTATCACCATTGATGTTTGCGCTGGATTCATAAATCAAAAAATTAACAACAAAAGATAATGCCTGAATTTTGTAATTGAATATGATTATAATTGTTTGCTTAAAAAAGCTATAGTAAATGGGTGGTCCGATGCCAAAAACAAGAAAAAAAGTCAGGGATATATTTACAAACAAATCTCAATGCACGGATTATGCTTTACTGGTTGCATATACAACACGCATAAAATCGTATTTGATAATATCGCTACCTAGAAAACCAACAGGAAGCGATTTTTTTGTCCATTTTTGATCTTGAAATCTAGACATTCATCGTATATCTATAAGCTAAAATGATTAATACATCTCTTACTTGGATATTCATGGGATGTTCTGTTTTGATATATACAGGAACGTCCTTTTTATACTTATTATAGTGCGAGTTGTTATAATGTATATCAGAAAGACAAGACAGAAAGATATCGCTTTTTTGCCTAAATAAATATTTCGATTCAGAATATTCATAAGATGTCGTTCATTTTTATATATCAAATATGTACATCTAGACTTCCTTTTTGATTATCCATGTGAAATAGGTACATTTTTTTTATTATGTTAAGTATCCTACTAATTTTAAATTATATTTTAAAAATATGTATGATTATTGTTGAGTTTATAAAAGAAATAGTAAAAGAACATTTCCATGAGTAGACAATAAAAAATATTTCAATAAAAATTACCATTACAGGATAATGGATAATCCAATTTCTTTTTAAGTCTTAGCAGAATTGAGCAGCATTATACATTTCTGAATTTAATTATTGCTGTTTTTTTTTTCATGTATACTGTAACAAACATGTGTTTAAACTTGTAAAATCTGTACCCATTTTATGCAAAATGAAAACTATTTTCAATAATTTCATAAAATTTCTTTTAAAAAAATTAAAATTTTTTTTTATTTTTCATTTTAATAGTTTAGTCCAAAAAATGAATGTTTCTTATATTAAAATGTAAAACATAGGTACGCATATTGACATTCTTAAATATATTTTTCCACACAACTATTAACGTGCTTCTTATAACTGTACATAAAGGATGATGGGATCACCGAATAGCTTATATGATTCAATCGCTAGGTCGTTAGGAATTAAATGATTTGTTCAATTGTGCTTCGAATCCCACGGAAGGGGGAAAATTCATTTTCAGAAATTTATAACATGAAAGCGCGGATTAAAAAAATAATTTAGGAGGTTGCTATAGGAAATGAGTAAATAGAAATATAAAGAACTGAATATAAAATGCAAAAAAATTATGAAACACTCTTTATTTATACTTGAAGGTAGTGTAGTAACGATAGGTGTCCAATGGATGGTAATATGTTTAATGTGAAGTTATCACTATGGACTTCCATTTTATGATAATATGGATGTACTCCATTCTATGCGTTCATTTTGTATGGTGTATGGATGTGAGATGTTAAGACACTGAATCTTTCTAAGACATCTGTTGAAGTTTTGTCTGAATTCAGATGGATGTCCATAGGATGAATGTGTTCCATCTGGGCAATTACTGGAGATAAATCAAAAGTATCCCTGCTAATTCAGGGAATTTAAAAAAAAAAAAATAAAATTTGCCAATTTCAGGTTTCGAGTTTATTTTTAAAAATATACATACGACAAAAAAAAACAGAAAATGTATTCCTAACTTTCTTTTTATTTACACATTTAATTTGACAAAAACATTTTTTATACACTTAATTGATCCTTGTGACGTAACAATTTATTTGCTTTTGTTTTATTTTTTAATTTACAATATGACAAAGTACCTAAAAAAGAAAAACTGTTCAGTTCTTTTAATTCAAACATTAATATTTTTACACCACTATTGGTTTCAGTGTCATATTCTTTCAAGAATCTTTTTTATCTTTACAATAACAACTATTCAAACACTTTTTTATTACATTCAGTTTTAAACACTATGGTATAACTAAAGCTTTTTTTCTACAAGAGAAGCTTGAGAGATCGAAATCATCGACGAATAATCTTTGAAAAGCTAGTACCTTTTTCTTAATGAATGACAATATAATCTTTAATTCAGTATATTATCTGTTTATTCATGTCGTACTCATTTTTTCATACCTTCATCACTATTATAGACATGTTTATCAAAACTCACATGTTTGTAGTAGTTTACGGAATAGAGCAAAATCGAAGTGACCAAGCATTTTTCAAAAAATTAAACATTCGCGAAAAAGTGATTTTTAGATTTACACTGAATTTGCAACGTTATCTCTTTCAAAAAATATCAAAATAGGTATATAATATTAATTTGAGAAAAGATTTTATTTTTGATTTTCAAAAATAACTCATATACATTGTCAGGTTCAAATGCAGTAAACGTTTTTACATAATCCACTTAACTTTAGTTTTAATTTAATGGGATCATTGTGGTTGCTAATGGTTTGAGTTTAAAATAAAATATTTTGTTATGCAGATAAACATTGTAAGCATGTTACATAACGAAACAATAAAGATAAGTTTGTTTTAAATAGTTATTTTTATGGATAGATTAAAGTTCATAGACGTGTCAAGATCAAGAGCAGCGCATTGATATTAACAAAAAAAATACCAGTACCAGATACCAGATTATAGGTCTCTCTACAAGTCAGATCAAAGGTTGACCAATTAAAATAGATAATTTTCCATTATTTTTTTGTGCCAGATTATTCCGGATGACCATATCAAAGTCATCACAAGTGATATTGATAAACTACAATAATTAATTGTTATTCAACATGATTTCAAATTTAAATAGGTGCCAGTTTGGTTATGTTACGGCAAATTACATGATATTTTTTCGATTAATTGAATTAGATTAATGTTGTTGAAGTAAATATTTTTTTTTTATGAAATTTAAGGATTTTTAAAGCATCCTAATCTTGGGAGAAATTGATGTTTTATTTCTAAGGTTGAGCATAAGATAAACATTTATAAAATAATTGCTTACCAAATAGGTTCACTCAATAATGAAAAAAGAAACTATTATTTAAATATTTACATAATTTATTTAATTAAAGCTGGTACAAAAAATAGTTTTGGAGAAATATTTATATCACATATTTTTCAAATTTCTTTCTGTAATTTGTTACAGTTTGTGCAGTTTTATAAAAAAAATTTTTGAAATGCAGTCTGTTCCTGAAATACATACATCAGCAAGCAACGCTAGATTCCTAGGGTCGAATAAGACGAATTAGATCAACTTACATATAGATACACAAAAGTTACCGCCTGCTACAACAATTTACGCTACAGATTTCTTAATTGACACACCTCTTTATTTATTTGACTTTAATATTACTCCCACCCACATGTAAGAAAATTATATACAGGGTGTTATTTTTTTAGTACTATAGCTATACTCAGGAGGCGTTGAGTTCTGTATATATATGTATGTTAGTCTAAATCGTGTTATTTTGGCTCTAAAAATCTGGGATGGCTCGCTGGTACAGACTTTTATAATTTTACATTAACGCTGGGCAATCCTTTAACATTTAACCCTGTAACTCTGTATGTAGCACCGTCATCTGGTGTAAAAGTTAAGCCTGGAACAGGTATTCTTCCCGTAGTTACATACAACTCATCCAGATTTGGCCCGCCAAACACAGCGGCTGTAACCTGAAAAGAAAAATGTACAGGCGTCAGATTTATAGTAATAAATTATTTCGGGTTTTTCAAAACTAATTGATGTTTATTTGCAAGTTATTTTATTACCTCTTGAGCAGGGAACTCGATGGTCTGCAGCAAGGTCTCTGGGCGTCGGGGGTCGATTTTTATCAATTTGTAACTAGGTGGCACTGCTGCCCACAAGTTACCATCAGCGTCGATTGTCATACCATCCAAGAAACCTTCTAGGCCGTGTTTGTTTAGGGTGAATACCGGTTTTCCATTTGCTGCAATTAAAAATTATAATTTTCAGTTAAAAAAATCGGTATATTCACATTTTATTATTTATTTTTTATTCAAAAAATTTGCAGTTGTATAAAAATGTATAAAATGTAAGACTTTTATGTATAGGGCGATGATATAGTTGAAAAATATGTAGGCAAAATATCTCAGGTTCAATTTGTAAGAAAAATATTTTAATTTAAGTGATAATGAACGTTTGTATATTTTGATCGGCTTTTGAGATGTTCAATAAGTTTTCCATTTGTGAACATTTTTTACTTTTGTTTTTATTCAGTTGTTTACGTAGAATCCAGTGGCGTATACAATATTTGTAACTTATTATAATTATCAAAAATTTTTTTGTAGTAACAGTAACAGTTTCTGTACAAAAAAAAAATGAATGTCACGTTTACATATCATTGTGCCTTCTTTATCATTTTGTCTTTTAATCTAGAAATAAATCATGTGATTTCAAAGAAATACATAAAAACAAATGAATAATCACTGATTCATGGGCAATCTTGACTTTGTCCAATGTGCAAAATCAGTAAATAAATCAAAGTATTGTGCAAACTGCCAAAGTAAATATATAGTGTGTCCTGTATGGTAATTCTAGTATGATTGACAATCATGGTTCGACACTAGTCAAATAAGTACAATTTTCAAAGTAATTTTTCTGACCTGGAAGGATAAGTCTATAAAATAAAACAAGATGACTCTAAAACAAAAAAGTGTTCTCTTTCCGATGGTAATAAAACAAATTTGATTGGAGAAAAACGTTTTGTGCTATTAGGGTTTGAAAATTCACAAAATTTGACGCATAAAATTCAAACCTCATGTTCAATAGCAGTAACGGGTTTAGTTAGTTCACCAAAACATAATTTTCTAGAAGATCTTATTTCAAAGTTATAAGCATAAAAAATCTGCTACAAATGGACGTGACAGATTCTTTGCGAAACTTTGTGACAACAGCAATGAAACTTTTTTAACTTTGGAACTGCAACCTTCAAGCAGAGCACAAAAAGTTGTCCTTGGTTTTTTTTTAAAGATGTTACTTGCTATGGTTTCAGAACAGCAACACTTGAAACTTGATAATTTATTCGCGCTTGCGATTGCATCACACAAGTGACCTTTTTCAGAAAGCCCTTGCGCCTCCTCTATACTACTAGGGAAACTTAGACTTTGTACATCACTTAAATCTTTGTTCAACTAACACCAAATTTTATCAAGATCCAAAATGGTATCAAAAAGGTGATTTGGTCACCTGACATAATTACTTTTTGGAAAAATTCACAAAATTGATTCACTCTTTATATCCATTATATATGTATATTAAATGCAATTTTCCTGTTCCTCAAATATTTTAGTAAAAATTTGTCTAATGTATGACAGTATTACTTCACTGATAATCAATTCATAGTAAAAAAATTAGCTTATTATATTTTTAATACCTTCTATTGATTGACCTTGAAAATATAAAATGTGTAACTGTTTTATATTATCATTACCTACAGTTGATAAATTGTTTATAAATACTACGCAGCATTTATAAGAATTATACATAAATAATTAACAAGACAAGCTTTATTAATAGAAGAAATTTGTACTGAGGAATTAAGTACATATCTATCAATCGCTATCGTTAATCTTCCTGACGTTAGCTCAATATTCAGAGACATTTTGTGATTAAAATCTTATTTTTATGGACTTATTAATACATATTTAGAATTAATCACATCATCATCTATTTTACTTATTTAATTTTAAACGTAAGGCATGATTTAATTGTATAAATGCCCGAAATATGTTATTATTATATTACATGATGTTATCAAACATTAGTATACGCTATAAATTACTCTTGAGTTGCTAATTAGTAGGCACAATAATATCCACTCCTCTGGTTGAAAAAAATTCGTTATCTGTATCTCATAAATAAATAAAGAAGGCAATTAAAAAATATATTGATAGAAACCAGTGGCGCATCCACGTGGGTCTAGAAAAAGGCTTTTCCAAAAGGAGAAAGCAGAAATAGAGAAATAATTTTTGAAAAATTATTATTAACTTACATATAGTCCCTTTAGTGATGTCGATATCGTATTCATCCAAAGTACCCTTCCGGGAATCAATGTAGTAAAACTTTTTTAAGGCAGCATTAAAGGCTAGACCGTTTGATATGCCAAGACCAGTCACGTGAGCAGTGGCCTTGCCGTTTTGAAAACTGTATAAAGTTCCTCTTCCATTCTCAATTTTATCGAGGTCCACTGGTGGAGCTCCTATAGTACCTGTAGAAGAAACATTTTTGTAATTTCACTCATTCACACTCAAATAAGTATCATCTGAAGAGAATTCTATAAAATACTAGGTATTCTTTTTATAAGATTCATAAGCATGTAATAATCATCTATTTATTCGAAAAACAAGACATATTTAGCAAAAAAAGGTAAAAAAACATTATTATTTAACACTAGCAACCCGCCCCGGCTTCGCACGGGCAAATATAAAATAGCATATGTTACTCCGAGGAGATGTAGCTTTCGGTAAAATTGGTTGAGTAGTTTTTGAGTTAAATCGTAACAAACAAAAAATCAAAATCATCTTTCTTCTAATGCGACCCTAATATTAATTTTAAAATAATTTACGATTTATTTATATACCTAAAGACAACAAACGAACTCAAAACTAAAAATGCAAAACCTTTAAATTTAAAACAATGTAGGTAACTACCAACAATGTGAAAAGAAAACGAATTAAATTAAAGTACCTATGTTTAGGACTATCAATTTTAATTAATAAGTAAGTAGTTAGGTATCTAACTACCTAAAGAAAACAAACACGAAACAAAAATGTGGCTATGAAGTTTTAAATGATTCACAATAAGAAAAAAAACAAACAAATTATTAAACTCAATGAAATAAAAGTATGTTTGCAAGTATCTATGTATGTTTCGACTACCTAAAGACAACAAATACAAAACAAAAATCTGACCTTAAAATATCGAACGCAATTATAACTTTTCAACAACACCCAGAAAGAAAACACAGTCGTCAGTCGTCACCTCCATTCGCTCCAAGTCAGTTTATTAAAGGATCACGCGCGCGTTATCGTTCGGCTTATTAGCTAAACAGTAGGCAAGACGGTGCGGGGGGAGGGTCGGCGATCGCATCAAGCGAAGCGAGGCGCTTGAATTTTATTCTCGCGTCCGTAATTTTTTTGCGATTTCTCCTAAGATATTCATTTAAATTATATGGTGTAAAAGAGTAAAATAATGTGCATGAAATGCTTAAAGCCTCTAACTTATTTAAAATGATAAATAGCTTTCCAATTACCGCTTTATAATTGCCCATTTTTTAAAGTATTAAAATGGATATAGTATGTTAGCCTTAAGAGATAGACATTATGCCATCGCGGACTTTTCTGTAGACCTATATAAGATACACAATTCCACCATACATTATTTTGTTATATCTCAAAGGGTTTAGCAGCGTTTTCGTTGAAAGCTCCCAGACGGCTTATTTTTTTCCGACGCCTCCAACAAATATCGTTAATGTATACAAAAACTTAACAAATTATATACTAAAACCTTCCTCGAGAATCACTCTATCCATTGGTGAAAACAGCATGAAAATCGGTGCAGTAGTTTTTGAGTTTATCGCGAACAGACAGACAGACAGACGCAGCGGAGGACTTTGTTTTATAATATGTAGTGATATAATTTAATTTTCAACAGCTATTTGATATTTCAACATTGTTCTAGTAGAATGCATTAACCCTCAATTTTTTTCTTTATACAGAGCTGTCTAAAATAGGGTCCTTAAATTGATCAAGTATCCTATTGTTCTCGTTTGCCCGAAAATGGCCGTTTGATATGTCATGGTACTTTATCAATACCTAGGGATTTTATTTTTTAAGTATTTTTAGCGGTCTCTAAGTTTTAGGTAAAAAATAATTATATTAACATATGGCTATCTCAAAAAGTTTTATTGAAGTGGCTATAAAAAATGGTAAAATTATAGTAAAAAATTAAACAAAAAGGAACTTAAATTATCAGTACCATTCTCTTTTGCACTCACCTGTCCATAATCTTCCCGAAGGATCACATTTTCCATCGTTGAATACATTTTCCGGGTACTGTTCATCTACTTCATACAAGGTCTTCAATATTGAAACAGAGTCACTTTCCCCATCCCAAGAGATAAGAGCAATTTGTTTCCCTCTACTTATAACGAACTGATCCTTTTGTCCTTCCACAGGGATAATGAAGGATACATTTAATCCTAAAAATTTTGATTGGATCTCAGTGTGAGACAATAAGATACAAATTCTTCACAAAAAACAATAAAGGTAACTGTTCTGTACTTGACGTTTCGAACAATTTATCAGTGCATTCAATGAAGATAACATAAAGTAAAAGGTAGGTATTTTCAGATATTTTGATAATATTGTAGATTGCTTACTTCACACTGTGAGATTCCAAAATATGTATATCTAAAAATAAGTTGTCAAAAAACAACCGGCCCAGGTGTTTACTTACTACTATAATAAAAATAATTTACAGTGTGGCAAAATATCCAAAAAATAAAACTTTTCAAACGATGGTTTAATGAAGAAACAATTTTATATACACAACAAAAAATAAATAACCGAAGAGAAGTATCCAGACTCATTTATTCATAAAATTAAAACACTTGTCTTTAAAAAATTTCAACAGAGTGAGGTCAGGTACTTCAGCTAGCCAGAGTAATATTAAAAAAAAATGCTGGAGAATATTTTGCTCTTTATTAGAATTTTAATTATTGTTTATATAAAAAAAGATTGAAATAAAAATTACTTTAATCATTGTTTTAATTATCTCTATCAAGATATTTTAATCGGTATTAATCAAATAATTTCTTACCAATATATGCTCTGGTATATTTTCGCGTAGCAGGGACAAACCTGTTGATGTAGTGCCCGTTAATGTCAACGAAATAAACGGATTGAGTTTTAGCATCCCAATGTGGAGATTCTCCCAGGTCGAGGGGTACATCAACCACTTTTTCTATTTTCGGAGCCATGATTTCGCTTAAGCGGTTTAACAGGCTTGAATAATGCGATAACAACTGGGTACTGGTATGTTAAGTGTTACATTATTATTTATATGTTATTGTAACAGCACTCACAGGCGTGCGTATGAGTTATCGATAGCATTAATTTATCTTATAAATGGACATAGTAGAAGATAGACCAAAATTTAAACTGAGCTTTTAGGTACCTCATAAAAACTTTATGGAAATTTCTTAACTTGATACAAATACAAATAAAAGTGCCTAATTATAAATATGAGTGAAATTTGCGGGTAGCTATTCTCCCTCTCCAGCCTCCTCCAGAAAACAACATTTAATATTTCATTAACGTTTTTTTGTCATTGTTTTTTTAAATTTTAAATATAAAATATAAAAAGTATGTTTTGTTCCATGGTCCATAGTAAATCATACGTTTCAAGTTAGTACTTGGTTTTTATGTTATAAAAAATAAACGTATTTATAGAAACATAATACAACATAGTATAGATATTGGAACCAAAAATTTTTCTGTCGATGATTAGAAAACTAAGGTTAAAAATACAATAAATGACATAGAGATTTGTAGGTATTTTGCGACTGGAGGTAGAATAATGAGTAATTATTATACATAAGTCAGTAGGTAGGTACCATATATTTAGTTTTCTGAAATGTTTGTTGTGTTCCTTGAAGCGCCATTTAATTAATACAAGGTCTGTTCAGAAAATAACTGAACTTTTTGAATTACGCCATAATGGAGATATTTGTTGATATGCGGTTGGCAGCATTGCGTTGAGCATAACCTCCTCTGTTCTTGGATTATTGCTATCTCATTTAGTTATTTACAAACTTACAACATGCATTCAATTTTTAATTGCTCACAAACGTAGGTATGTACATCACACACCTTTGTGGCATAGAGGGGCATAATTCGAGGGTGTACATAATAATATTACACCACATTTTTTTTTCCAAATTATTTCAAGTTTGATTAATACAAAATAAGTTTAAAGGGCTTTACAAACATATGTTCCTTCGAATGTTGCTAGAATTCTCCGCTTTCGAAATAAATGATGACACAGTCCTAGGCCATGTTTTGACAATTAATGCTAAAAGTTGCAAATATCAAATTATTTTTAAAACAAAAATAATTAATTTTCAAGTGATCATATTATCTATGGATGAAATAAAGTTTTGTTCATATATACAGGGTGTTGCATCACGAGAGGGGCATGGCTTAATGGAAGATAGAGGCGATCTAGGGTAACTAGGATCGTCTATAGAAATAGCTTCTTGGCCATTCTTTATTGAGATACAGGGTGATTTATGATTTTTGGTCAAAACTGCTTTATGTTATAACTTTGGTAGGGAATGGAATAATGGGTTCATATTTGGTAGGGTTAATGCACACACGATATTTCATGTATGCATGTATGACAGCAATAGAAATCCAGGTCCGGACTGCAAAAATTGTTAATTTTTTGTGCAAGTCTAGAAAACAACACTATGTACGTATTTTTTTGAAATTCCGATACGATATTCCGAAAGAGCATAAAAAAGTGATCTTAAAGACGCGTTACTTTTTTTTGTTACACGTTGGTGTTATTTAAATAAGCTATTGAATATACGAGACTACGCCTTCTAAAACTAAATTACGTAAAGGACACATGATAAAAATGGTATTGCAACTGAAATTAGCCAAGGTTTAATTTAATTTCAAATATAGCTTATTTATATTCACTTATTTTCCTAGTCTTTAATAATATTTTTATTCTTTATCTCGAGTTTTAATGATAAACTTATTCTAATTAGCTCTTTTCAACTTTGAGATAATATGCAGCACGCTCTTATTATTATTTTTTACTTGATAAAGTTCAATATTTTAAATATATATATGCAAGTAATAGCAGTTTTCGTAATTTAGGTTCACTAAATTATCGCTATAGATTTTTAATCCATAATTTTGAATTGTAAACAACATAATTGTGATTATATTATCAAACAATAACTGTAATTCCTATAAAATCGCTAAGAGAATGGAATTTTAATACAAATATTAATAATACAAAACACAATAAATAATTGAGTTTTAAATTTTATATGTATAGATTGTAATAGGTAGTCATTTGAACAAAAATGATTAATATAAATTAACCATAAATTTAAATAACCAAACGTTTATATTAAATACAGTACTTGTTAGAATTATTAAGGTTATTAAGACTGCTAAGCTAGCTAATTATTTTTGCTATGTAGGTACTCTTACATAAATAATGGTAAATGTATAATAGAATACGTTTACTACTTGGGCATAGATAACTTTGACAAATATTTCTAAAACGTTACTGAATTAATAACAAGTATAGGCTGTTCTTATCATCGCAATATCTAAATAAATTTAGCGACAAAACCACAAGTCGACGTATCATGTGTGAAGGTTGTTAATTTTCAATAAAAAACTAGATCTACCATTTAAATTTTGTTTGTAGTTCGAACGTGCTGTAAGTTGTATTGATGTATACCGACCTCTCTGTTGGCCCTTCATAGTAGCTTTCGCTATTGTAGCCTCGACTGCGATGAATTGGTTTACTGCATAAATCCTGCATCAACGCACCAGACTTAACGCTGAATGACCTTTTTCCACTGCGGCTACCTCTTAGCTTAATCTCGTAGTTTGAAATCTGGCCCTTGTTCTCAAAGTAGTAAATAAATCCATGAATATTTATCTCGGAATCAAAGCTGGGCAGTACTAGGGTAAATTGTACTCATGATTGTACTAAGTAGATACCTACCTAAAGTACTCGATACCAAGCATATTCTGATCGGTTTCAATACTAGAAATTTTTAAACATTTTGCAAATTTTGAGTACATTGGGTAGGTACTCAGTAGGGACTTAATCCATTGAGTGAAATCATTTTCACCCAATATTGAGAATTTTGATAATTTTACTACTGAACTGAGTACACTCAAATTTAGGTACCCGTTAAATAAATTCTGCAGATAAACTCGTATTTGGTACTCTTGTAGCTATATCGGAGTAAATAATAATAATAATGCTTTATTACAATTTCTAAGTGAAATTTACAACAGGTGAAAGTCTAGCCCACATGCCATTCTAACTTAATCCTTCCTAAAACTTAAAACTAACCTTATATCTAATAATTATAATCCTAAAATAAAACCAAACATGACATTATAATACATAATAATAAAAAATAATGAACAAACTAACAAATATTGACTTTTTTTAAAACTAACAAATATTACACATTTGTTTTTGCAAGTATAGCAAATATCGTTTTAAATGTATTTTTAACGATCCCTCAGACTTGATCCCCTTGATGGTACTATTCAAAGAATTGTATAGTTTAACTGTGTTATAAGTGAATGAACGCTGAAATATGGCAGTCTTATGATGAGGTATAGTTAATGATGTTTAGTTGCGTAAAAGAGTGTGAACTGCGTTGCGACATGTTAACTTATTTTTTAACTACTCAGGAGATGGAGAGTTTTGTATACGATACACAAACGAAAGGGAATTGTATTTGAATGTGTTATTAATTTTCAACTCAGTTTATTAATTAATTTACAGCAAGTGTTTTGAATTTTTTGTAATCTATTACATGTTACTTTGTCCAAACATGCATAAAAGACTATATTACAGTAACATATTTTATTGTTAGATAATACTAAACTCTTAAACATACATTTTTTCATCTTATACGTCAACAAATTTTTATTAGCATATAGTAGTTTTAATCTGATGTAACATTCCTTGGAAACATTTGTGACATTGTCTACGAATTTCAAATTTTCATCAAAATATAGTCCTCAGTTTTTTGCAGTGGTAACAAACGGAAACAACTGACCATCAATGTTAGTACGCATACTTGATTTTAAGTGTTCACGTTTTTTCTTTGTGTACAACAAAATTACTTTTAGACGTAGATTATGATTTATAGCATAGTTATTAATATTGGATAAATCATCATTTATAATTAATTGTCAGTGCTTCATCAGATCCATCAGTTGCAGAGTGATGATAAAGCTGCGTATCGTCTGCAAAAAACTGAACATTACATTTTGTAATTACATTTGTTAGGTTAAACGTATAAAGTAAAAATAATAAAGGCCCAAGTACTGAACCCTGCGGCACACCCGTCACGATTTGCTCGGTAGTCGAAATATTATTATCCAATATTACTTGTTGGAATCTGTTTTCTAAATAGTTACTAAATTTCAACGAGACACCGTTAAAACCTAAATACTTGCACTTGGCGATAAGCAGTTTATGATTAATTGTATCGAAAGTTTTTGTAAAATCTAAATGAACCAATGCAGAAGCTTGCCCAATGTCTAATGCACGCAATATATTATCAGTCACATTTGCCAAGGCTGTTGCCGTACTATGGCCCTTCCGAAATCCAGACTGATGTACTGGAAACAGATTATGCTCCATTACATATTTACTTATTTACCCGTAAACAAATTTTTCCAAAATTTTTGATAAAATTGGCAACAGACTAATGGGCCGCAGTTCACTCATATTCGTTGGGTTATGACAATTAGGAAGAGGTGTTACAAGAGCTGTCTGTAAATGTCCTCATTATTGAGTGTCCCCGCCCCATTCTATGGTTATCGTGCGTTGTCTTTGTCTATTCCCATCGTCCCCATTGGGTCGTGTCGTGGCGTGGTATATGGCGTATAGTGTTCGACAAGTGTGCGTTACTCCGGTTATTTTGATGAAAATTATGTTTAAATGCTATGGTTTGATTACAATAAATTAAAAACAATAATATATTGAGTCTCGATTAATATTTGGTTAAATAAACGGATAGTTAAATTCTTACTTACACTTACTTACGTATCTGTAACGTACAATATTGGTTATGATGGCAATCTATTCGTCCGATCAGTTAACCATTCCTTTAAACGAGACCTAGAGATCTTTTAATATCTCATGAGCCGCGAAATGCGCGAAAGGTATAATTCTTCTAATAAGCACGTTGTGAAAACATTGACTCAGAATTAGACCACGTGCCTCATCACAACTAGAAATGAGCTAAGGCGCTCGGGCATCAATAAAGTCAACTGGCCAACGTTCGTTATATATATTTTTATTGTTTAAATTAAAATAATAAAGAATAGGGCATTTTATTATGATATTTGTAATCGGATCAAAGGCTTGTTTACGCTAGAGCTCGAGAGAGACTGTGAATAATAGGTGCAATGTTTTTAGGATGTAGAATAATTTAGGCGACGGTCGGAATTATGTTTCTGCGCATATGAAGGTCAAAGCTCATAAGATTTTAAAACATCTCTAAATAATATTGTCCCTAAAACAGATTTGTGTAGAAACCACTGTGGCAGCTTAGTAGTTTATGAATTTAATAGGTACAATGATATTTAAATTAAAATTTAAAGTGGTGGAAAACCACTCCAAATGTTAATGAAATGGAAGCAGCTGCTTCCCATGGAAATTTTCATAGTACAAAATTACTCAATATTAGTTGAATTTAAGTCATATTAGAGAAAAAGTCAACACTTTATTGGTTTTACATACTCAAGAGAGAGTCAAAAGTCAGTCACTTGATAGTTTTAGCAGAAACTCGGATTAGAATAAAACTCCTGTTGCAATGGTTTCACTCATAAAATTTTGGTTGTACTCGTACTAATAGAGTGAAAATTTCACTTAATCGGGTGCAGAAATTAATACATTATTGAGTAAAATTGAGTGAATTTGAGTGGATTTTTTTTTACAGTATAGTGTTAATTTTTACATTACATTGAAATTCTACATTGACTTCAAGTTGAGAAAGTTACTAGATATTATTTTCAGGTATGCAGTTTTCTAAGATTTACATATTATTATAATTTCAGTACGCCCACAGATTTTGATAGATATTTTTTACAACATTAGTATACTGTTAAATACTGCAAATTATGTTTTAAAGAGTAAAAAGTTATAGAAAAAATATTACTACACCTACGATCGAAATAAATAATTTTTATACACGATATTTGGTATTATCCAGGTAAATTTTGGCTATAAGCAAATAAAAAGGTAATACAATAAAAATAATAATTTAAAAAAATATAATATTATTATTAGATAAAAATAAACAAAAAATAGTTTTTTGCACTAATTATGACCCATGTTTGTTTTAATTAATACATGTATTTGTATTAATATTGTTACTATTATCTTAGCAACATATTATTATTGTTATTTAGAGAATGATTCTCTCTGTAAAATAAAAAAATTAGTACTCATGCCTTCAAAGCTCAAAAGTGTTTCTCTTAGTTCTTAAGATGAATTAGAAACCGAAATTGTTATTTTATCGTTTTAATAAAATCAAATTGTACATTGATTTCAAGATAAAGAAATTAGTAGGTATTATTTTCAGGACCGAATTGTAATTTGTAACGAAAATATATTATTATATAGAATAGATCTCATGGAATAGATTTTCAATAATTTAAATATTTGTGTAGTCAATAATTTTTATTCATAAAATGAATTATTCAGCTAAATTTTAGCTATAAGCAGATATAAAAAGGTCTAATAATTATATTTGAAATAATATCGTTAGATAATAATACTATACATAATATAATTGAATTATTTAGATAAAAATAAACAATATTTAGTTTCCCACCAATGCTGGCCCGTGTTTGTTTTAATTAATGCATATGTAATATTAATATTATTATAATATGAGTAACTTAATCCTGTTTTTGCTATTTAGAGAATTATTCTCTCTGCTGGCAGTCCTCTCACATTTAGTCCTGTCACTCTGTATAATCCTCCATCTTCTGGAGCTGAAGGAGTAACACCTTTAACAGTGAATCTTCCAGTTGTTACGTATAATTCGTCCAAATTTGGGCCACCAAAAGCAGCAGATGTAACCTGAAAACGATATTGTAAATGTATGTAGGAGTTTTGAGGTTGCATTTTTTAATAAAGAAAATCATAAAATCGCAGCAATTTAAAGGGCATTGTGTATTTTATATCTTCCTTTGCACCATGATCTTTTTTTAATTATCCAGTGTCTACTTTTCAAATCATGTTCCTGAAATCATAGCTAAAAGAACGCACATAAATTTGTTGTTCCTTATATCTATCAAATACGTAGGAAATAATTTTAATTAATATACGAGTATAAATAATTATAGTTACTTCAGGCCACACACTGTAAAAATTACCGTGTATAAATCGAGAATTATATAATAGATTTAATTAGATTAATAGCCTCTAATTTAGACGAGTTTTGCAGTAATAAGGATTTCGTATAATCTTGCGACATATAACATGACAAACAAAAGTCGATTCATATCAGCAGAGTATCTCCAATGTGCATACCAATATAGTTTTTTAGTTTCTTACCTGTTTACCCGGAATTTGGATAAAATCCTCTATAATTCCTGGTTTTCTAGGATTGACCTTTATCACACGACTTTGATTGAAAACAGCCACCCACAAATTCCCATCTGAATCAATCGTCATCCCATCCAGCACTTTTAAGTCCGCTTCTCGGTCGAATTTTTCGAATAATGTGTAAATTGGTTTTTCGTTAGCTGAAATTTAATTTGATCACTAATGACAGTTCAGATTTTATAGCTCAAAAACTGATAACAATTCTTCGAGGTCGAGACAAATTCAACCACCAGAAATTAAATACTTCATGTGTTTCTGAGGAACAGACGGTATTCATTTTCGTGACAGTTTCAGATATATAAATGTTCTCGACCACCAAATACACTAAGATGAAAACTACCTTATACCAATGTTTCGGAGAGAAACTGTTTACAAATTGTAAATATTTGGAATGGATATATCATACTTTTCCACTGCAACTAACAGGTCTATTCTATAATAAATATTCATGATCTTCTATCTTCAGTCGTCTAATTAGTTTCCACAGCTTTGACAGCACTTCTTTCACGTGGTTACCAGGTCCTAGTTCTTTCTAGAGAAGTAGAGAATACACAAATTGCTATATCTTCAAAATCGCTGTCCCATCTCTCTATGCTGTCTTTTATAAGACCAATGATGTTGGGTCTGCAATGTTCTGCTGGCAATCCTACTTGATCTGCGGCTTTGGTTCAGTAGGTATGCGATCAACTCCTACGAAGGTCTTTTTAATAACATTGTGGTTTTGCCTCTATCAATGGATTTCTAGTTACCATTTCTGACCCTTATATTTGTGCAATACTGCAAGAGGATATAATTGCACATGACTTTTTGCATCTGCTGTATTTAATCTGGCATGAGCTGATTGTTTTTCGCGCTGTACGACTCTAGGTGTAAATAACACTTCTTTGGTTCTTAATGTTCTTCTCGTTTCAAAGTATTTAATGGCCATCACCTCCATCTGGAAGACCGCAGCATGCATTCCTAGACTATATGGAACTTGGACAATTTCCTTAGACCCATGTATTCCAGTTCCAGCTCATGTATTTGTCTTTGAATCGTTCATATATCAGATTGGCTGTAACAAGTTCCTTCTCTCAGTTCTTTCTTGCTGGTATTATTATCTTAAAGCTCTTAATTGCATCTAAATAGACATACAGCCTTCCAGCATACCCCACTGAGTCCAGGTTGACTGATAATAAATCCTCATTATAATCTAACTATACAAATCGTGCTTGTTCTTGAATAAAAATATTTCAGTAAAACCTCTAGAGCTAGGATGTGGCTCTCAAGATCCTATCTTCATGGCCCTCAGGCAAGCTAGATTTTTAATACCACTTAGGAGCTTTCCTACTTTCAGTTGCAGCGTCTTCGGTCACCATAGGTTAACATTAGACACACAATTTTTGTGTGTAAAATCATTAGACCATCTTATGTCTCAATTTTTTCCATAGAGTTGTCTGGACGATTTTACAGAATACAACTCTGCAGTTATATCGGCTATAGTCTAGATAAATTTAATTTTTTTACTAAGTAACCGACACAGAAACATAATCTAATCATCATACTGTCACTCTAAAACAATTGACTATATAAAATCTCTGATTTACATAGAATTTCAGGAAAGTTTAGCAATTTTTTTATTTTTATAAAGCCTTTTATTATTAATGCTGTTTTTATATTTATTTAGCAAATTGATGATTTGAATGTGACTCTAGCAGAATATTATGATGAATTTCGATTAAATGTTAGTGATTCAAATAATAGAAGACAGACGACTGTGCAAAATTATTTTTTCATATTTACTTACTTATGGTCCCTTCTTTGATGTCAAAGTCGTATTGGTCGAGTGTACCCCTATAAGAATCGACGTAATAGAATTTGTTTGTAGCAATGTCAATAGCAATTCCATTGGAAATCCCTATTTCGGTTAGATGTTTAGTTACTTTTCCATTTTTGAAGCTGTAAAAACTGCCTTTCCCTTCAGGAATTTGATCGTCTGTAGGTGCGACTCCCATAGTACCTAGATGAAGTTGTTGGTGTATTACACTTGAAAATATTTTCAATAAATAAATGATACTTAATTGTAGAATGGGTCATAGTTCTGGATGTTATATGTACAGCGATTGAGACAAAAACACATTTGAAATGTAATTTTTTTTCAATCGAAACTAAGAGAGTGCCACTTTTAGAAACAGTTGGAATTTTTCGAAAATATTGTATGTATTGAGTTGAAATGGATATGTTTCTTTAGGCACTAATTTAATTTTGTAGTTAGAATAAACGCGATCTTTTTGTACTTCGTACATCAAAAATAAAAAGAAAACCAAAATTTGATTAATGAATGAGTGAATATTATATAACTGAATATCAAAAACAAACAGCAAATGCAATTTGTCATCTCATTTCGTGTTAAATAGGATCATGTTTCATAAACTGTTTTTAACATTATTTTGAAAAATGATCATAAAATAATTATGAATATCTTATTTTTAAATTAATTTGCAGCGCATTTCAAATCTCGTGAGACAGATTATTGATTAATGTTGTTAAAATAATATAAAGTGAAACAAAACATCTCTTATCTCGAACACTTTTTTACTTTTAACAGTAAACTATTTTTAGTCAAAATTAAATAAATAATAATTTTTTGTTCAATATGCATTTTCTCTCGGTGAGCGAAAGGTGAAAAATATATGTTAATAAAAAAATATTACTATTGAAATTTTTAGCTTGATTGATATTTTTGAAATCCTAACAAAGTTTTTTTTTTAATTTTGATTAAAATGGACCAATATTTTATGAGATTATCTAACTCAATTCTCATATTTTGACCTTAGAAATCTCCTACTAGCCATGTGATATTCTTAATAAAATACTCTATATCTTTTTATTTCTTGTATCTTCGTATATCTTTTAATAACAAATTGGACCAAACTGGGATTTTGTTTGAAGTTAGTTTGAGTAGCGTTTATAAGAAATAAACATTATTAGCCATTTTTTTATATTAAAAAAACATATTTTTTTGACTATAAATTTCTAGAGGAAACGTAAATATCAACATTCTCGAAGAAAAATTACACGGACGATGACTTTTCTGGTTCCAATCTTAATTAGGTAATTAATGAATAAGAGGATCCATGCAAAAATATCAATAATTGTATTTTCTTTTTTCATACCACTCTTCAATTCCAGAAAATAATACTACTAAAATTAGAAAATATTTTGTTTAGTATAGAAAATATTAGAATTGGTTGAAAATAGTTTGAACTCTTTTTATGAAATACAACACAGACATTTCTGTTAAATAAAGATAATGCAGTCTAAGTAAAGGTTTATACCAAAATTTCTAAAAAAATTGTTATCCGAAATTAATATGGAATTTTAATCTTTGTTTTGAAATACGCAATGATTTTTCAAATTACCTATTGTAAGTCAAATAATAATTAGTAATCCTATTTACATCTTTTTCCGTCGATCTCACCCTAAAATGCAGTTTTAGAAACTTATTTCCGGATAGATTTTTAGGTGTCATTATTGTCATGTATAGCTGGGGGCGAAAAAAAGCTTTCTTCCCGAAACGGTTAATGAAATTTAAATAATGTTTTTTAAAGTATTCAGTAATAAGTTTAGGTTGGAATCTTTTTATTGTCCACAGCTGTACCTAAAATTTGTAATCACGTGCAAGTATTTGTGTGATATGACATCAAGACACTGACACTAATCTAAGGGAAAATTATAAATAATACTATTATAAAACTATTATAAAACCTTATAAAAGTTATATAACCGCCCCTATTATTTTTATAAAACTATGATGGTTTCCTTTAATGACTTTAGGAGAGTTATAAAGCGATTATAAGAAATATTTCAGGAATTGTTTTAGATATTATTTAAGTAACTTCGCGCATAATTTCATTACATTTCTATTTTCGTAAATATATAACCTCAGAAATAAATCATTTGATACATTTTTAAATTAAAATTATTATTTGGGAATATAGATATATGTGACCTTTTAAACCTCTAGAAATTCGTTTACAATAAAATCTCTAAAGAAGATAGATTGCTATCAACTAAGACCTATCAACAGAGCTGCAACCACATCTTGTTATCTAGCTTGCTATTTTTATTTTGGTATTATCTCACAATCAGTCCGCTATCTGTGTAAAATAAACATACACAAAATGTGACAGTCACAGTCTGTTTGTAATAATTGCCAATACGGATCTCACAACTTTTATGTAGGTACTCATGGTGACCTAAAGTTGTAGAGTAAGATTTTTACTTACGTAGGTTACCATGTCTATTAATATTTTAATACATCATCCTTATAAACCTAAAAATGTTACAAGTACCTAACTACAATGACAGTAGTACGCCTATTGGTTATCACTGTTAATAGTATTTAACTTAAAGTAACGATATATAGCGCATTGCATATCTGTTGATATATTTCTGTTCTGTATGTCTCTGGTAGAATCTAGCGCATATTTATTGTAAGAGTTTTATAAAAGCATCTTATAAATATTGTGTTAATGTCTTATAAGTTATAATAAAGTTTCAAATCAACAGCTAGTAGTTATTGTTAAATTATTACTAGTGCCCTAAGTTATACAGGGTGTTTCAGTTCGAGTGTATCGAACTTTAACCACAAATAGAACTCAATAAATAATTCAGAATTGCCTATAAAGCCAAGGTCTAAGTCTCGCCGTTTTCACTGTACAGGACCGTATTGGTCGTTTGTTAAAATCATATTATTTACGAAATCTTTGGTATGCTCATAACAAATTGATTCAAATTTAGTATGGTTTTAACATTTGCACAAGTGAATAATTTACTGTAAAATTTACACATTTTTGTAGATCAGTTGCGTAGGAACGGGTAGTAAAGCGGGATTTTTTTACCTCAACTTCACTTATAAAACCACAAGCACCTTAAATTACCGCTATTACAATTGCATGCCTTTTATATTTTATATTTTATATAACTTAAGGTAACAGAAAATGTTACTTGGAATGTATACCTACAGGGTGTTCCTAAATATCATGTACATAAGGAAGGGGGTAATTCTTTGTCTTATTTCATGACTAAAAGTTCATATAAACATAGGTCCGCAAACCCTTCGTTACCGATCTACAGGGTCTTGAAATTTTAAGATTTTTTTAATTTCTGCTCTATAGCTCCCACAGTTTTTGAGATATTTAGCTGAAATTTGGAATATAGGTTACGCTGTAGGGCTTACATCATTGGGCATGCCAATTGGTCGTGAAATTCTACAGAGTGATATTTTTCGGACTTCATGCCCCATTTTCTTCCCCTTAACATTTGTGCGGTGCGCCGCTGGTAGATCCTAAAACCAAAATTGAATTTTATGTTTTGTTGAGAAACTTTTTTGCCTCTTATGATTTTTTCGTATATGCGACCGTTATCGAAAAAAAAATAAAAAGCGATTTTATGTAATTCGTTAGATGAAACTTAAATTCTTAAAATGGTTCAGTAGGCTCTGGCGTTATTTAGATAATTTCTTGTTTCTATTAATTTTGACAGTTCGCATTTGAAATAGTAACTTGGGTCTGCATATGTTTAAAAATTAAAGGTTTATGTTACAAACTGTAAGGTGTAAAAGTGTTTTAAATACTCATTGTCCCAATTTTAGTTTTTAACAGGTAGTGGCGAATAAACTGTCAAAATTAATAGAAACAAGAGATAATCTAAATAAAACCAGAGCCTACTGGACCATTTTAAGAATTTAAATTTTATCTAACGAATTACATAAAATCGTTTTTCAGCTAAATATCTCAAAAACTGTGAGAGCTATAGAGAAAAAACTAAAAAAATCTTAAAATTTCAACACCCTGTAGATCGGTAGCGAAGCGTTTGCGGACCCATGTTTATATGAACTTTTAGTCATGAAATAAGCCAAAGAATTACTCCCTCCCTTATGTACATGACATTTAGGAACACCCTGTATAAATAACTACGAGAGTGTATATACTACAAAATGTACACTCATAGCATAATATAAGTAATTAAATACAGTTAAACCAACAATAGATATAAATTGTTACAAAACAATAAATTGATAAGAGAATAATAAATAATGGATATTTACTAAAAGTACATATTTATATTATTGTCCTGCGCCCCTAATAGTCCGGGCGAATTAGTTTTATTTTTCAAAGCACTATTTGATGTAATTAGTTTGGAATCTGTATATCAAAAAAACGCCGGGATAAGGACTAAGTTACCGTTTTTTTTTTAGGTTTTTTGTTAATAACTTTTTTATTTTGCTTCTTAAAAATCTGAAATTTACACAGACGCGAGATAATGTAATTACCTTTCGATCCTTTTTTACTGAATTTCGATAACTTGACTTGGGCAGAAGATATACGTTTCTACTTTTTAATTTTACAATAGGCCGTCATTTTGAAATTGGGGGTCAGGAATGCGGGTATTTGTTGAGCACCCCAACAGTTATCTTTCCCTGTAGTTTCATCCAATTTCAGTCAAATTTGTTCTTTTTATTTAATGCTGAAAGTTTTGCACTTTTTTTTCCCCGCAAAAAATTTTTGCGAGCTTTCGCAAAAGCCTAATTTATGCTTATAGCAAATTTCCTCAGGAACAAAATCGATAAGTATACCTCATGTCGATTAGAGGCTTATTTTCGGAGATATAAGCAAAAAACTGAAAAAAGAGAAATTATTTTATTTTTCTTTTGTTATAAACAATATGACTATCGACCTCTACAAATACACAAATTTATTCTGTGTATTTTTTTACTTAATTTTAAGCCCATAAAATTCGAGTTAGGCCCGATTTTTGAAACAGGTATGTGTTTGGTCTAATTCGCCCGGATTGTAAATAATTTAATTCTTTACTCTACCTGTCCAAAGTCTTCCAGAGGGATCACACTTTCCATCATTAAAAACATTCTCTGTGTTTTCATCCACTTCATACAATATCTTCAGGCTTGCGACTTTTTCGCTCTCACCGTCCCACGTTATCAGAGCAATTTCTCGTCCATAAGTGATAACGAACTGATCGGTTTCTCCCTTCACGGGAATTATTATTGAAACATTCTTACCTAGACAACAAAACGATAAGGAATGAAGGATACAAGTATATAGATTTTAATATTACCTATGTCTGCTTTCGTGTGTTTTTTTGTCGAGGGCACGTATTTGTTGATTGTGTGTTTGTTGATATCGACGTAGTAAAGACTTTGGGTCTCGTCATCCCAGTGGGGCCCTTCACCTAGAGAGGTTGGCTCGACGTTTAGCTGTTCGACTTTCGGCGCCATCGTCTAAAGTTTAACTGGTAATAATTACGATGTCGTAACAATTTATCACTGGCAGTACATCGGCTTGGATTATACAGACTAAATAAATTGTCTCCTATATATTTTCAGTGCGGATAGTACATTAGAAAATCAGACGACCTTTTATACAAAGTATTTATTTATTTAATTATCTAGTTTTACGCTACCTACCTACAGCAGAATTATTGTGGAGAAGTGGCGAAAATTTAAATGCGTTTGTTTGTCCAAGTATGAAGATAAAATGCCTTCAAATTTGGTGTTCCATTTATAGATACATGAAAATTCAACGCGTAAATAGTATACGTTGCTGATATGTATGGAAATTGTCTATTAGCTCCTAAAGTGAGATAGATATCGAAAAATTAGAAGACACAAACACTTTAGGCTTTTTTAAAATCTATTACAATAAAGAAGAGTTATGTATACAGGACATATCGAACTTTGAAAATGATTTTCTTATCAATTTTACAAAAATATTTTAGTTCATTAAAAATATTTTAGTTTCCAGTTACCTCTGAGAGTTTCTGGCTCCATAACAATGCCGCGTCGTTCTTTTGTCTAATGGAGTTGAAGTTTTACTGATTATAGGATACGGAGATAGAAGACGAAGTTGTGACGAAGTAGTGGATATTTTTCAAGAATTGCATCCCGATTGGGAATGTATTTCTAAATCAACCATTTCAGAAACATAGCAGAATTTTTCAAGAAACTGGAGGTGTTACAGATCGATGAAAAAGTGGAAAACCAGTAATCGTTACAAATGAAGAAAATTCTTTGAATGTCATGTTAGATGTGGTGGAAAATCCAATAAATTCGACACAACAGAGGTCTTTAAATCATAACATGAGTCGATATTCCATCCAAATATTTGCAAACGGGAAAAATTATATCCATATAAAGTTCATTTCTTATAAGCATTGAGAGAATTGAGTTCTGCGAAGTTATGGATAAATTAAATGAAAATGTTAATTTTATCATATATATTGTTTTCTAAGGAATCCAAATTTTGTTTAAATGGGCACGTAAACCGATACAACTGTAGATATTGGTCAGACCAAAATCATCATTGGATGATGGAGGTTCACACCTAACAACCACAGAAAGTAAATGTTTGGTGTGGTATTATTGATGGATACGTCATAGGACTCTATTTTATAAACGGAAATTTCACCTCTGAATGATATTTATTACATTTGCAAGAACATATTACTCCAGAGCTTAGACGATTATTCCCGAACGATAACAATCCCAATTTACCGGCAGACAGATACCTATGGTTTCAACATGATGGGGTTGTTCCACATTTTGGACGTGTGGTACGGGCACATCTAGATGAAACTTTTCCTGATAAATTGATTGGACGCAGAGGGGCAATTGAATGGCCACCTAGGTATCCCGATATGATCCCACTTGACTTTTTTTCTTTATTGTAATAGATTTTAAAAGCCCTAAAACGTTTGTGTCGTATGATTTTTCGATAGGAGATAATCGACCGTTCCAATACATATCAGCGAGCCTGTGTATGGAAAATTGACGTTATTATATATTACTTTACGTAAGAACATTAAGGAACAAAGTTTGCGTCTGTAAGAATAGACTAAGAAATGAAAATTCATCCAACAGTTGCTCTTGAATAATGCCAATACGTGGGCACATGTCGCCTTTAAAATATTAACTGTTGAAATATTTACAGAAACCTGTAGATCGATATAATCAAAACTTTTGGAAAATCTATTTAAAAAACCCCTACATTTTTATAAGTAAAAAAGCGTGATTTTGATTATAACTACAGAAAGTTAATTTTGAATGGAACTTTCACTCAAATCAACAATATCATATTTATTCCGTGTAATACTTCTTCTTTCAGATTATAATTGAAAAGTGTGGTATTATTTTTCCTGGAATAAGACATTTAGAAACGGCATGCGGCAGTTTGTTCAGATTACAGCAGACATTGACATCATATAAATTGCTTTGTAACGTTACACATTCATAACCATCATCAACAACAAAGAACAATTCATGTCGTCGTAACAGTATCATTAATAAATAAATTAAAGAGCAAGGGTCCCAAGGTAGAGCCATGAGGAACACCAGATGTCAAATTTAACAGACTTGAAACCACAGTATTCATNTTGTAACGTTACACATTCATAAACAACATCAACAACAAAGAACAATTCATGTCGTCGTAACAGTATCATTAATAAATAAATTAAAGAGCAAGGGTCCCAAGGTAGAGCCATGAGGAACACCAGATGTCAAATTTAACAGACTTGAAACCACAGTATTCATACACAGGGTGTTCTAAAAGTCCGTCAGGATACTCCGTTAGGTGATTGATTCTACGGATTAAAATAATAGCAGTATGTAAAGAATTTGTTTTCGGATTGTTATAGTTTGCAAGTTATAGCTTGTCAAAGTTCGATTTATTTTTAATTTTTCATTTTAAATAACTTATTTAATTCAAGTTCGATTAGTCTCTTATTTGGCACACCCACTAAGTAGATCAAGTTCTATTTCTATTGGAACGGTCCGAAAAAACTTTCATTATGCGCCGCTAGAGGGCATTTTACCTAGAACTCAAAACTTGTGTTGTTCATAATTGTCTTCTCTTGCTAGACATTACAGAAATTTAAATATTATTGAAGAGAGAAACAATATCAGAAAAGATTATACTCTTTATTCAAACCGATAATTGTAACCGCTTAGCAGGAAATCGCTAATAAAGTGTTATTAAATATTAAATTTTTGATAAATCTTTCTGTAATTAATCAATTTGCGATGCTTCAAATAAATGTGAGTAATTTTGGTGTTACGAATTGTAACAAAAATTGTTTAAAGCAGGTATAAGTTTGATTTTTCACCATAATAATTTTTTTCAGCTCTGTAACAGCATTGTGGAAAAATAAGATGATTATAATCCGCGGTCGAAATTATAAAGAGTGACTAAGACATAATATCAAAACACTATTACCATAATGCGTATAAAATATAAAATGATTTTTATACGGTTCAATNCATATTTATTCCGTGTAATACTTCTTCTTTCAGATTATAATTGAAAAGTGTGGTATTATTTTTCCTGGAATAAGACATTTAGAAACGGCATGCGGCAGTTTGTTCAGATTACAGCAGACATTGACATCATATAAATTGCTTTGTAACGTTACACATTCATAAACAACATCAACAACAAAGAACAATTCATGTCGTCGTAACAGTATCATTAATAAATAAATTAAAGAGCAAGGGTCCCAAGGTAGAGCCATGGGGAACACCAGATGTCAAATTTAACAGACTTGAAACCACAGTATTCTATATAAAGGGTGTTCTGAAAGTCCGACAGGAAACGCCGGGAGGTGATTCTACGGATTAAAATAATAGCAGTATGTAAAGAAATTTTTTTCGGATTGTTATAGTTTGCAAGTTACAGCTTCAGTTCATTTATTTTTAAATAACTTATTTAATTCAAGTTCGATTAGTCTCTCATCTAGCACACCCACTAAGTAGATCAAGCTCTATTGGACCGGTCAGAAAAAACTTATTATACGCCGCTAGAGGGCATTTTACCTAGAACTCAAAATTTGTGTTGTTCATAACTTTTTTCTCTTGCTAGACATCACAGAAATTTAAATATTATTGAAAGGAGGAATAATATCAGAAAAAGTTATGTCTCTTTATTCAAGACGATAATTGTAACCGTTTAGCAGCAAATCGTTAAAAAAGTGTTATTAAATATCAAATTTTTGATAAATATTTTTATAATTAATCAAGTTGCCATGCTTCAAATAAATATCATTAGTATTTTTGGTGTTACGAAGCCGTTTGATTTTTCACCATAATATTTTTTTTTTCGGCTCTGTAATAGCATTGTGGAAAAATATGATGATTACAATGAATTTACTAATAATACTTTATTTATTAACGAAACTGGTTCTACAATAGATGGTATCACAGCATGGCAACTTGATTAATTACAGAAAGAATTATCAAAAATTTTATGTTTAATAAAATTTTAACAGAGATTTCTTGCTAAACACTTACATTTTTCGGAATGAATAAACATCACCCTTGTAACCGCTTATGAATTTGTAGCCACTTGAGGAACTGTCACCGTAGATGGAATGTTGAAGGGCTTGTTTTTGTTTATGTTACCGAAATATTTATTTAGAGTACCAAATTGGTATCTTTTCAGGGCTAAATTTTATGTGAAAGATCATCATTATCTAACTTTTGTAAAAAACTTCGTTATATGGTTATGTTTGGTAAAAAGTAAGCTGATAGGGTAGAGGAATGCACTGGGAAACACCCCTGTGAACGGAACAAAACTGAATGCCCAGGAAGCAATGGCATCATTAAATTGATGAGACAACCATAGCTGCGTGGCTTTTATTATTATTATTTATTGTTATTGTTTTAATAGAAAAGTAGTCAACATGTTGCTGGGGCTGACAGTGGCGGACCGTTAGGTTAGTTATTTTATAACTTTTGTATAACTGGTCCCATACTTTAGTGTTCGAACGTGTAATAAATAGTGTCACGTCACCCGTTTATTATTTCGATGGAGGCAATGGAGCAAATTAATCCCCATATCCACCCAGTGTCTCCGACATATACGAGGTGATCCATTAAAAAGTAACTTTAATTAAATATTCAATAATTAATAAGTTAGCCAATTAATTTCGCTATGTATGTACCCTTATATTAATAATAATAATAAATCCATACAACACATTTACTATTTGGGCATAGATAGCTTTGACATATATTTCTAAAACCTTGTTGAATTAGTAAAAGGTATAGGCTGTTTTTATTATCATCGCAATATCTCAGTAAATTTAGCAACAAAACCACAAGTCGACGAATCCATGTGTCAAGGTTGTTAATTTTCAATAAAAAACTAAATCTTTCATTTAAATTTTGTATGTAGTTCCAACGTGCTGTAGGTGTATAGGTATTTCCTATTCCGTCCTCTCAGTTGGCCCTTCTATCAATAGCCCTCGCTAACCTCGATGAATCGAGTTACTTGTTG